GATTAGTGTACACTAACACTGGTGTGTGTTGCAGGGATTAGTGCACACTAACACTGGTGTTTGTTGCAGGGATTAGTGCACACTAACACTGGTGTGTGTTGCAGGGTTTAGTGTACACTAACACTGGTGTGTGTTGCAGGGATTAGTGTACACTAACACTGGTGTGTGTTGCAGGGATTAGTGCACACTAACACTGGTGTTTGTTGCAGGGATTAGTGCACACTAACACTGGTTTGTGTTGTGTGTTGCAGCCAGGGATTATTGTACACTAACACTGGTGTGTGTTGCAGGGATTAGTGCACACTAACACTGGTGTTTGTTGCAGGGATTAGTGCACACTAACACTGGTGTGTGTTGCAGGGTTTAGTGCACACTAACACTGGTGTGTGTTGCAGGGATTAGTGTATACTAACACTGGTGTGTGTTGCAGGGATTAGTGTATACTAACACTGATGTGTGTGTTGCAGGGATTAGTGCACACTAACACTGGTGTGTGTTGCAGGGTTTAGTGTACACTAACACTGGTGTGTGTTGCAGGGTTTAGTGTACACTAACACTGGTGTGTGTTGCAGGGATTAGTGTATACTAACACTGGTGTGTGTTGCAGGGTTTAGTGTACACTAACACTGGTGTGTGTTGCAGGGATTAGTGCACACTAACACTGGTGTGTGTTGCAGGGATTAGTGCACACTAACACTGGTGTGTGTTGCAGGGATTAGTGTACACTAACACTGGTGTGTGTTGCAGGGATTAGTGCACACTAACACTGGTGTGTGTTGCAGGGATTAGAGCACACTAACACTGGTGTGTGTTGCAGGGATTAGTGCACACTAACACTGGTGTGTGTTGCAGGGTTCAGTGCTCACTAACACTGGTGTGTGTTGCAGGGATTAGTGTATACTAACACTTGTGTGTGTTGCAGGGATTAGTGTATACTAACACTGATGTGTGTGTTGCAGGGATTAGTGCACACTAACACTGGTGTGTGTTGCAGGGATTAGTGCACACTAACACTGGTGTGTGTTGCAGGGATTAGTGTACACTAACACTGGTGTGTGTTGCAGGGTTTAGTGTACACTAACACTGGTGTGTGTTGCAGGGATTAGTGCACACTAACACTGGTGTGTGTTGCAGGGATTAGTGCACACTAACACTGGTGTGTGTTGCAGGGATTAGTGTACACTAACACTGGTGTGTGTTGCAGGGATTAGTGCACACTAACACTGGTGTGTGTTGTGTGTTGCAGGGATTAGTGCACACTAACACCGGTGTGTGTTGCAGGGATTAGTGCACACTAACACTGGTGTGTGTTGCAGGGTTTAGTGCACACTAACACTGGTGTGTGTTGCAGGGATTAGTGTACACTAACACTGGCGTGTGTTGTGTGTTGCAGGGATTAGTGTACACTAACACTAGTGTGTGTTGCAGGGATTAGTGCACATTAACACTGGTGTGTGTTGTGTGTTGCAGGGATTAGTGTACACTAACACTAGTGTGTGTTGCAGGGATTAGTGTACACTAACACTGGTGTGTGTTGTGTGTTGCAGGGATTAGTGTACACTAACACTAGTGTGTGTTGCAGGGATTAGTGTACACTAACACTGGTGTGTGTTGTGTGTTGCAGGGATTAGTGTACACTAACACTGGTGTGTGTTGCAGGGATTAGTGTACACTAACACTGGTGTGTGTTGCAGGGATTAGTGTATACTAACACTGGTGTGTGTTGTGTGTTGCAGGGATTAGTGTACACTAACACTGGAGTGTGTTGCAGGGATTAGTGTATACTAACACTGGTGTGTGTTGCAGGGATTAGTGTACACTAACACTTGTGTGTGTTGCAGGGATTAGTGTACACTAACTCTAGTGTGTGTTGCAGGGATTAGTGCACATTAACACTGGTGTGTGTTGTGTGTTGCAGGGATTAGTGTACACTAACACTAGTGTGTGTTGCAGGGATTAGTGTACACTAACACTGGTGTGTGTTGTGTGTTGCAGGGATTAGTGTACACTAACACTAGTGTGTGTTGTGTGTTGCAGGGATTAGTGTACACTAACACTGGTGTGTGTTGCAGGGATTAGTGTATACTAACACTGGTGTGTGTTGTGTGTTGCAGGGATTAGTGTACACTAACACTGGTGTGTGTTGCAGGGATTAGTGTATACTAACACTGGTGTGTGTTGTGTGTTGCAGGGATTAGTGTATACTAACACTGGTGTGTGTTGCAGGGATTAGTGTACACTAACACTGGTGTGTGTTGCAGGGATTAGTGTACACTAACACTGGTGTGTGTTGTGTGTTGCAGGGATTAGTGTATACTAACACTGGTGTGTGTTGTGTGTTGCAGGGATTAGTGTACACCAACACTAGTGTGTGTTGCAGGGATTAGTGCTCACTAACACTGGTGTGTGTTGCAGGGATTAGTGTATACTAACACTTGTGTGTGTTGCAGGGATTAGTGTATACTAACACTGATGTGTGTGTTGCAGGGATTAGTGCACACTAACACTGGTGTGTGTTGCAGGGATTAGTGCACACTAACACTGGTGTGTGTTGCAGGGATTAGTGTACACTAACACTGGTGTGTGTTGCAGGGTTTAGTGTACACTAACACTGGTGTGTGTTGCAGGGATTAGTGCACACTAACACTGGTGTGTGTTGCAGGGATTAGTGCACACTAACACTGGTGTGTGTTGCAGGGATTAGTGTACACTAACACTGGTGTGTGTTGCAGGGATTAGTGCACACTAACACTGGTGTGTGTTGTGTGTTGCAGGGATTAGTGCACACTAACACTGGTGTGTGTTGCAGGGATTAGTGCACACTAACACTGGTGTGTGTTGCAGGGTTTAGTGCACACTAACACTGGTGTGTGTTGCAGGGATTAGTGTACACTAACACTGGCGTGTGTTGTGTGTTGCAGGGATTAGTGTACACTAACACTAGTGTGTGTTGCAGGGATTAGTGCACATTAACACTGGTGTGTGTTGTGTGTTGCAGGGATTAGTGTACACTAACACTAGTGTGTGTTGCAGGGATTAGTGTACACTAACACTGGTGTGTGTTGTGTGTTGCAGGGATTAGTGTACACTAACACTAGTGTGTGTTGTGTGTTGCAGGGATTAGTGTACACTGACACTGGTGTGTGTTGCAGGGATTAGTGTATACTAACACTGGTGTGTGTTGTGTGTTGCAGGGATTAGTGTACACTAACACTGGTGTGTGTTGCAGGGATTAGTGTATACTAACACTGGTGTGTGTTGCAGGGATTAGTGTACACTAACACTGGTGTGTGTTGCAGGGATTAGTGTACACTAACTCTAGTGTGTGTTGCAGGGATTAGTGCACATTAACACTGGTGTGTGTTGTGTGTTGCAGGGATTAGTGTACACTAACACTAGTGTGTGTTGCAGGGATTAGTGTACACTAACACTGGTGTGTGTTGTGTGTTGCAGGGATTAGTGTACACTAACACTAGTGTGTGTTGTGTGTTGCAGGGATTAGTGTACACTAACACTGGTGTGTGTTGCAGGGATTAGTGTATACTAACACTGGTGTGTGTTGTGTGTTGCAGGGATTAGTGTACACTAACACTGGTGTGTGTTGCAGGGATTAGTGTATACTAACACTGGTGTGTGTTGTGTGTTGCAGGGATTAGTGTATACTAACACTGGTGTGTGTTGCAGGGATTAGTGTACACTAACACTGGTGTGTGTTGCAGGGATTAGTGTACACTAACACTGGTGTGTGTTGTGTGTTGCAGGGATTAGTGTATACTAACACTGGTGTGTGTTGTGTGTTGCAGGGATTAGTGTACACCAACACTAGTGTGTGTTGCAGGGATTAGTGTACACTAACACTGGTGTGTGTTGCAGGGATTAGTGTACACTAACACTGGTGTGTGTTGCAGGGATTAGTGTACACTAACACTGGTGTGTGTTGCAGGGATTAGTGTACACTAACACTGGTGTGTGTTGTAAGGATATGTGTACACTAACACTGGTGTGTGTTGCAGGGATTAGTGTATACTAACACTGGTGTGTGTTGTGTGTTGCAGGGATTAGTGTATACTAACACTGGTGTGTGTTGTGTGTTGCAGGGATTAGTGTACACTAACACTGGTGTGTGTTGTGTGTTGCAGGGATTAGTGTATACTAACACTGGTGTGTGTTGCAGGGATTAGTGTATACTAACACTGGTGTGTGTTGTGTGTTGCAGGGATTAGTGTACACTAACACTGGTGTGTGTTGTAGGGATTAGTGTACACTAACACTGGTGTGTGTTGCAGGGATTAGTGGACACTAACGCTGTTGTGTGTTGCAGGGATTAGTGTACACTAACACTGGTGTGTGTTGTGTGTTGCAGGGATTAGTGTATACTAACACTAGTGTGTGTTGTGTGTTGCAGGGATTAGTGTACACTAACACTGGTGTGTGTTGCAGGGATTAGTGTATACTAACACTAGTGTGTGTTGTGTGTTGCAAGGATTAGTGTACACTAACACTGGTGTGTGTTGCAGGGATTAGTGTATACTAACACTAGTGTGTGTTGTGTGTTGCAGGGATTAGTGTATACTAACACTAGTGTGTGTTGTGTGTTGCAGGGATTAGTGTACACTAACACTGGTGTGTGTTGCAGGGATTAGTGTATACTAACACTAGTGTGTGTTGTGTGTTGCAGGGATTAGTGTACACTAACACTGGTGTGTGTTGCAGGGATTAGTGTATACTAACACTAGTGTGTGTTGTGTGTTGCAGGGATTAGTGTACACTAACACTGGTGTGTGTTGCAGGGATTAGTGTATACTAACACTAGTGTGTGTTGTGTGTTGCAAGGATTAGTGTACACTAACACTGGTGTGTGTTGTGTGTTGCAGGGATTAGTGTACACTAACACTGGTGTGTGTTGTGTGTTGCAGGGATTAGTGTACACTAACACTGGTGTGTGTTGTGTGTTGCAGGGATTAGTGTACACTAACACTGGTGTGTGTTGTGTGTTGCAGGGATTAGTGTACACTAACACTGATGTGGAAGAGGTGCACGACTGGATCGTCACACACTTCAGGGATCATCCTCTCTTCTCCAGAGTGCCGGACGAACAACTGGTATGTTTTACATCTGTCTGTTTCTAGGCCTGAAATACTGAACATAGTAATTGTATTAAAACACAAGATTATGGCTGATTATAATGCTTTCTCGGGTATTATTGACACTGTATTTTGATAAAAACACCTGAACTAGTTCACCCTGCTCAAGTTAACCCCGGGTTAATGCAATCCTATGTTATCCTGCTTCACGTTTCACATTGCTCATTATCATTTGATCCTGGGTATTCATATACTGGTGTTTCTCCCTGTACATCCCTAACTCCTGGTTATCCTCCTGATTTGCATATTTGCAGTGTAAAGGGCCGTACACACTGGGACGAATATCGGCTCACGTTATTCGCCAGTGTTTTTAAACGCGTTTTTTGTGTTCACACCCAAGCGATTTTCGCTGACAATGAGCCGAGTGAACATGCAAATTCGTTCCCTGACATTAGATGGCGCCAATTTGCTCTGCAATGCCACTCCATAACAGTTCTCTTTTATCAAGATTTTTGTAGTCGCTGTCGCGTTATATAGTCATATAGTTCTTTGTGTTCCGACACCAACGAGACCAGCAGCTCTACATTCATCTTGCCTCGCATCTTCCTCGTCTTATTTCTTCCCGGCAGTGTAGACCTGTCTATGGTGTAGACGCTACTTGGCGTATATCTTCTTCGCCGTTACGTATGTGTGCCCGGCAAGACCGTTTTGTGTTTGAGCGCCCCCAAGTTGTGTTTTACTGTAACTTCAGAAGCTCCAGACACGTGAGCAAAAGCGCCAATCTCATTGGTCGGATAGTTTTTGACGCAGCGCGTCAAACCAAAAAAACGAACCCGAGACATTTAAAAAAAATTACGCTTTTACGCGTGGCGTTTTTCGCGTCGGTGCACACTCACATAGGCGCCCTTTGTTTAGTCACGAGGCGTTAAACGTCGGCGAATATCGCGCGTGAAATTCGTCCCGGTGTGAACAGGCCTTAAGTGTCACTGATTGGACAAGCGCAGCACGTGACCTGTTTACATATATCGCTGACTGTACTATCACATTTATACTGAATGGAGTTTCAGACTATAAAAGCTAAGAATAAAACACTCTCGTCACTCCAGTTGCGTTTTCTGTCACCGTTTATCATTGTTCTCTTCAAATTCTGAAAAATAGCCTGCGGTTTAGTGTTTATACAACGCTGTGTTCCCATGACTGTCCTAATCATGTAATATGAGTTGCTAAGCAGCACGTGAATATGAGGCACACGATTGGCTGTCGGTTGCTAAGCAGCACATGAATATAAAGGCACACGATTGGCTGTCGGTTGCTAAGCATGTAGTCGTAACTTTCTAACACCACATCGTTTCACACTGCACACGTTAGGCTCTGCGATGTGATTTAAAGAGGCTCTAACCCTGCTGTGGGGCTTCACGACCCGGTGTAAAAACATTCCTCTAGCCACGGTTTAGAAGACTTTAACCCGGGGTTTAGCCCGACCTTGACCCTGGGTTTATCACGAGTTTGACCCTGGGTTTATCACGAGCTTGACCCGGGGTTTAGCACGAGCTTGACCCTGGGTTTATCACGAGCTTGACCCGGGGTTTAGCACCAGCTTGACCCGGGGTTTAGCACGACCTTGACCCAGGGTTTATCACGAGCTTGACCCTGGGTTTATCACGAGCTTGACCCGGGGTTTAGCCCGACCTTGACCCTGGGTTTATCACGAGCTTGACCCTGGGTTTATCACGAGCTTGACCCGGGGTTTAGCACCAGCTTGACCCGGGGTTTAGCAAGACCTTGACCCGGGGTTTAGCACGACCTTGACCCGGGGTTTAGCACGACCTTGACCCGGGGTTTAGCCCGAGCTTGACCCGGGGTTTAGCCCGAGCTTGACCCGGGGTTTAGCCCGACCTTGACCCGGGGTTTAGCACGACCTTGACCCGGGGTTTAGCCCGAGCTTGACCCGGGGTTTAGCCCGAGCTTGACCCGGGGTTTAGCCCGAGCTTGACCCGGGGTTTAGCCCCAGCTTGACCCGGGGTTTAGCACGACCTTGTCCCGGGGTTTGGCACGAGCTTGACCCGGGGTTTGGCACGACCTTGACCCGGGGTTTGGCACGAGCTTGACCCGGGGTTTGGCACGACCTTGACCCGGGGTTTGGCACGACCTTGACCCGGGGTTTGGCACGAGCTTGACCCGGGGTTTGGCACGAGCTTGACCCGGGGTTTGGCACGAGCTTGACCCGGGGTTTAGCCCCAGCTTGACCCGGGGTTTAGGGTTTAGCACGACCGTGACCCGGGGTTTAGCCCGACCTTGACCCGGGGTTTAGCACCAGCTTGACCCGGGGTTTAGCACCAGCTTGACCCGGGGTTTAGCACGACCTTGACCCGGGGTTTATCACGAGCTTGACCCGGGGTTTATCACGAGCTTGACCCGGGGTTTAGCCCGACCTTGACCCTGGGTTTATCACGAGCTTGACCCTGGGTTTATCACGAGCTTGACCCTGGGTTTAGCACGACCTTGACCCGGGGTTTAGCACGACCTTGACCCGGGGTTTAGCACGAGCTGGACCCGGGGTTTAGCACGAGCTTGACCCGGGGTTTGGCACGAGCTTGACCCGGGGTTTAGCACGAGCTTGACCCGGGGTTTAGCAGTGTTAAAAGTTTTTCCATTACATAAATGATGGTTTGAGCCCCTTCTGTGACTTGATGTTTGGACTGATTGCGTCGCAGGCTGATGACATCATCATCGGTCACCTGGGCACGTGCACGGAAGAGGGAAAGAAGGTTCAGAGAAACGGAGGCAAAAACTTTTTAGCAGTTTTCCGCCGAGTGGAAGATCCCAAGACGTGAGGCTCCGAAGTGGCGGAAGAGAAGATCTTTTACAGCAACTGATTGTCAATCCAGCATGTACAATACTTTTTCTAAATCTGAATAAACATGGATCTTGACATTTTCTGTATATATTAAATGTTTAAATGTCTCTGTTTCATGTGTCCATGAGCTCGTCCTTTGGCTGATGGTTCTGATTCTGCTGAACACATCTGAGAGCTTTATGTGAGGTTTCTCTAGAGTTTTCAAAGACTATTCAAGTGAATTTAAATTATGCCAGTGATTACTGATGGATTTCTCAAGTTCATCTTCACGAGCAAAAAGCCAGTCTGTGTTTGAATGCATTTTATCCTATTGTATTCGAGCCATACATCTTTTCTTCTCAACCCTTTTTTTCTTCCTTTTTTTGTGGACCCCAGGAAGACCAGCTCGTCTCACTTTGGTGACCGCTAATGGGGATCCTTTTAACAATAAACAATAAACATTTCCTTCATCAGTTCACAGATCCCTGAATCTGAACCCTTGACCTCGCGTTGCTAGCGCCGCGATCGGCTGCTTGAGCTACAGGAATGCAGCTTGTTGAAACACTACATGACATGGTAAAAGGACAGTTGTTGGTCTGCCTTTGGAAAGATGATGTTTGCAAATATGCAGTGAGTGTTTTGCATAACGGCAGGATCTATGAATGACAGTATAATGAGATGAGGACGATAAACTGGACCTGGAATATAAATATGTGGTTTCCCCACACGCATTAATATGGTCACATGTACCTGAGCAGTGACAGAATCTAGACACACACGGGGTCAGACACACATGATCAGACACACACGGGGTCAGACACACACACACGGGGTCAGACACACATGATCAGACACACACAGGGTCAGACACACACACACGGGGTCAGACACACACACACGGGGTCAGACACACACACACGGGGTCAGACACACACACACGGGGTCAGACACACACACACAGGGTCAGACACACAGGATCAGATCAGACACAGGGTCAGACACACACACACAGGGTTAGACACACACAGGATCAGACACACACACACACACACACACAGGGTCAGATCAGACACAGGGTCAGACACACACAGGGTCAGACACACACACACACACACACACAGGGTTAGACACACACAGGGTCAGACACACACACACACACACACACACACACACACAGGGTCAGACACACACGCGGCAGTGGCTCAGTGGTTCATGTAGGTTGTCTACAAACCAGAAGGTTGGTGGTTCAATCCCCGGTTCCACCTGACCAAGTGTTGAGGTGTCCACGAGAAAGACACCTAACCCCAGCTGTGTGTGTGTGTGTGTGAGACACCTAACCCCAGCTGCTCCCGACGAGCTGGATGGCGCCTTGCATGGCTAACACCGCCGTCGGTGTATGAATGGGTGAATGTGAGGCAATATGTAAAGCGCTTTGGTGGCTATTGGGTCTGTGAAAGCGCTATATAAATGCAGTCCATTTACACACACACACACACACACACACAGGGTCAGATCAGACACAGGGTCAGACACACACATACACACAGGGTCAGACTCACACACACACACACAGGGTCAGACACACACAGAGACACACACACACACACAGGGTCAGGTCAGACACATACACACAGGGTCAGACTCACACACACACACACAGGGTCAGACACACACAGAGACACACACACACACACACACACACACACACAGGGTCAGGTCAGACACACACACACATACACACAGGGTCAGACTCACACACACACACACAGGGTCAGACTCACACACACAGGGTCAGACACTGTTATGTGTGAGTGTTCTAATCTGTATGTCATTGCAGTTTCCCTGGTAGATCACCTGCTGCAATCAACCGGTTAATTGGTGTCACCTGACAGGAGCTACTTAAATCTAGGACGCATGCTCTTGCTCTCTCTCTCGTCTTGCAGCCGGCAGAGCAGTAGCTGTGTTTTGCTTCTACAGTCCCCTTTTTCCTTTTTATATTAAATAAACTTTGTTTTAATTGGCAGACTTCTGTTTTTGTGTCCTTTATGTTGCATCCCTAGAGCCGGGGTTGTAACATAATGGGGGCTCGTCCAATTTGGTTGGTAAAAAGTATTTTTTGGGGACTGTTTTTGTTTATTCCCTTTGATTGAGATCAGTTGGTGAGTATGGTTGTTTGAGTATTTTTGAATATATGCATGAGTTTTCCCGGTTAGGTAGGGTGAGAGTTCCAGCTGGGTTGATTACTCAATCCTTCCATCGGTTCACTCTTGTTATTTTTCCTTTTTTGTTTTCGAGGTTATTCTGGGTGGAGACTTGTTCTCTGTCGGGGGTAAGCATTTCAGAACTGTGACCATTGATAAATTGGTTCACAGTTGCTGAGTTTTTGCTTTTAAAGTCGCCTCGTGCCCGGTACACCTCAGAAGATAGATAGGAATTAGAAGTGTTAGGCAGGTATCCGGGTGTATCTCATGTGTTTTTGTATTGTGTTTGAGCTCAGCAACCATGCTCACTATTTTGATGGAAGTGAAAGCGGAATACTTAGGTAAGGTGAGTTAATTTTTTTTGAGGTAGTGTTTATTTGGTCCATGATCCTAACTTTAGTGTGTTTGTGTGAAGTTCCTTTGTGGACTTTAGTGTAGACTAATGCCCAGTATTGCCTTTAGATGTTTGTGATTGCTTGGGGTGAGTAATCTTCTGTGTTTGGGTTAGTTCTACTTCTGGTTAAAGCTTTGTTTGAGAGCATTTGTGCTGCTTTTGTCATTTTTGTGTGTAATTGGACCTGTTGTGTCGGCTGAACTTCTGTGTAGGAGCTAGTGTTACTACTACTTAAGTGTAGTTAGTGTTGAGTTTAGTAATGGCTTCTTTAGAAGACTTCCTAAAGGAACCTTCAGAAGAGTTACTTGAGTTTTTTACAAAGGATCAACTTTTGCAGTTGTCCTCTCATTATGATATTCCCATCACAAGTAGTGAGAAGCGACTGAAGGATGGTGTGAAGGAAGGGTTAGAAGTGTTTTGATTGACAATGGTGTCTTAAGTTAAGCAGTTTTCCCCACAATCCATGACTGCTCCTTTGTCTGAAGCTGCAATTGAGCTTAGGCTCAGAGAGCTAGCTTTCCAGGAGAAACAGCTAGAGGTTAATGCGCAACTAAGAGAGAAACAATTGTATCTTGAACACGAACGGTCTCTTAAAGAGTTGGAATTAAAAGCTGCTACTTTAACTCCAAGAGGTGATGGTTCTTCATTTGATGTTGGTAGACACATTAAGTCATACCTGTCAACATTTGGTTTTCAAAATCCGGGAGATTTCTCCTGCGGGGGGGGGGGGGTGGATGTACAACTTGTAACGACTGGAAATAAGGTGTGTCCCCTTTAAGAGCTGTGCGCTCCCTGTTGAACTGTCGGCAGTATTGTATTGCATGTGCTTGTATGGGCCTCGAACACCTCTTTTACTGTCTATGCGAACACCCCATGTATGCGGGTAATTTTTGTTTTATGCTAATTTTTATCTTATTTTGTCTATTAAGTAACGATGTGGACGGTAGAACGTGTGACAGACAGTTAGGCTACGAGTTCGATTTGGGAATAAAGTGCGAGTTGTGAGATGCCAATCGCCTCCGTGTGTCTGTCTGGCCTCTGCATGCAATAACTTCAGTTGTGAGCTATCCCTAATCTTCCTGAAGCAACGCGTTACAAACTGTACTTCAGTTTCATTACGGGGACACCACCTTCACCTGCCATATCGGCTCGCTTTCGGGTTAAACTTTCCGCGACTGCGCAACTGTGTTATAGGTTGCCAGGTTGAGGTGACAAACGGGTTGAAATTGTAAATGGTCTGTGGATTGTGTGAATATAATGCATTTAATACAATCTGGCAACTGGTCAACATTAGACAAACATATTGGTCCGATTATTCATAAAGGAGTTTGGGCCATGCAAATTACGGGAGTTTCCCGGGAGAAATAACAAACCGGGAGGGGTCCGGGAGATAGGGCTAAAAAACGGGAGAAACCCGGGAAAAACGGGAGTGTTGACAGGTATGCATTAAGTTAGTACCTCCTTTTTCTGAGAAAGATGTTGACCGATATTTTTCTCATTTTGAACGGGTGGCAATTACATCAAAGTGGCCTAGAACTGTGTGGACTTTGCTTTTACAAAGTATCTTGGTGGGTAAAGCTCAGGAAGCTTATTCCGCTCTTAGCCTAGAGAAGAGTGCTAATTATGATGAGGTTAAAGCAGCTGTATTGAAGGCATATGAGCTGGTTCCTGAAGCTTACCGCCAGCGCTTTCGAAGTTGTGCCAAATTTGCTTACGACACTTATGTTGAGTTTGCTAAACAGAAGGAGAATCTGTTTGATCGGTGGTGTACGTCTCAGAAGGTGGAAAGTAAGGAACATCTTAGGCAACTCATTTTGCTTGAAGAATTTAAAAACTGTCTGCCTGATGTAGTGTCTGTTTATTTGAATGAGCAGAAAGCAGTGACTTTAGAACAAGCTGCAATCTTGGCAGATGAGTTTGTCTTAACACATAAGGTACATTTTGGTGACAATCAAGCTGAGGATCTGGTCCAGATTAGGCACAATAGGTCTCGGTTTGGAAAGTCTGTGCCTTTTGCCTCATCACCTGCCAATAAAATGACTAATGATGGTTTGATTTCAGAAAGGGCTTGTTTTTATTGTAAGACACCAGGCCATCTTATTGCAGATTGTCCTGTTCTAAGTAAAAAACAGAAATCTGCAAAGACTGTAGCATTTGTAAGTCCTGTGCCAAGCCTTCCTCTGGCATCTTCAGTTGTTGATGTGTCATGCAAGACAGGGGAGTTAGCTGGCTCATCATCATTTCTGATGGATGGTTCTGTGTATCTGTCTTCTGACCCTGAACACAGGCAAGCTATTAAGATCTGGAGAGATACAGGAGCTTTTCAATCTGTGATTTTACGTGATGTTTTGCCCTTCAATGAAAAGTCAGCTCAAGGTTCAGAGGTAATTGTTAAAGGTTTTGGTGGAGGATTTCTGTCTATGCCTTTACATAGCATTAATCTCCAATCAGATTTAATCTCTGGGGATGTGGTTGTTGCACTTTGTTCTCAGATTCCCATAGATGGTGTGTCCTTTATTCTAGGAAATGATTTAGCTGGTGGGAAAGTGCTAGCTGTCCCTGAAGTAACCTCTACTGTCCTCAAGTCAGATTGTCCAGATGAACTTGAATTGGCATTTCCAGAAATTTTTCCTGTTTGTGCAACTACTCGTGCCATGTCGGCTAAGAGGCAGGTTGAAGACAAATCTTCCAGCAGTCAAAAGGTGTTGCCACTTTATGATACTCTCATGGTCCAAGGTGACATGAACTTGTCAGGGTTTGGAAAGATGTTTCCATCTCGTGAACAGTTAATACGTGAGCAAAAACAAGATCCCACTTTGTCACCCATGTTTGAAGATTTGGTGTCTGATGAAGTACTATCAAATGTTGCTTCTGGCTATTTTGTCAGTGATGGTGTTTTGATGAGAAAGTGGACAGATCCAAAAATACCATGTGAGGATGACTGGAGTAGTGTGTTTCAAGTGGTGGTTCCAGAAGTTTATTGGTCTGACACTTTGTATCTCGCCCATGATCATTGTCGTGTGTTAAGTTTTCTTTTTTGGCCTGGCGTGAGGTCTGATGTGGCTCAGTATTGTAGATCAGGTCATGTTTGTCAGGTGGTAGGCAAACCTAACCAGTCTATTCCTGCGGCTCATTTACATCCCATTCCTGCCATTGGAGAGACATTTGATTTGAAAGCAGTTCAGAAGATGAAGACTTCATATGATCGAAAGGCTAAACATCGTGTGTTTTGTTCAGGAGACCAAGTGCTGGTGCTCTTACCAATACTGGGTTCTGCGGTGCAGGCTCAATATAGTGGTCCATATACTACTGATCAGAAAGTTGGTAAGTGTAACTACTTGGTTAAGACTCCAGATCGTAAAAGGAAAACCCGAATGTGCCATGTGAATTTACTCGAGTCTTACTTTGACCGTAGCCAAATTGCGTCTACAGAGGTCAAGGCTTTGGCTGCACTGAATGCTCCATCGATTAAGACAGGAGGAGGAAGTGTTGTTGTTTCTGAGGTTGCTCAGAGTAGATTGGCTGATTTAGACTTTCATTGGTCGTGTCTAAATCTTTCTGAGCGCTCTGATGTTCAGTTAATGGGTCATTATTTGGCCTTGTTTTCTGATGTTTCATGTTGTACCAACGTGCTAGAGCATTACATTGATGTAGGTCAAACTAACCCTATTAAGCAACACCCATATAGATGGTTAGTGGTTACTGGCATAGGTTAATGTGATTGAGTCTGTTTTGCAGGGATATGACTTTAGTCTGCCACCTTCGTGGGAAGGATAATGTTTTGGCGGATGCTTTGTCAAGGTCGTAAGTCCTTGTGGGTTTTTTTCCATGTATTTGTTGACTTTGCCATAGGTTATTCCATAGCAATGTTTTAAGGGTGTGAGTGTTCTAATCTGTATGTCATTGCAGTTTCCCTGGTAGATCACCTGCTGCAATCAACCGGTTAATTGGTGTCACCTGACAGGAGCTACTTAAATCTAGGACGCATGCTCTTGCTCTCTCTCGCTCTCTCTCGTCTTGCAGCCGGCAGAGCAGTAGCTGTGTTTTGCTTCTACAGTCCCCTTTTTCCTTTTTATATTAAATAAACTTTGTTTTAATTGGCAGACTTCTGTCTTTGTGTCCTTTATGTTGCATCCCTAGAGCCGGGGTTGTAACAGACACACACAGACACACACACACACACAGGGTCAGACTCACACACACACACACACACACACACACACACAGGGTCAGACACACACAGGGTCAGACACACACAGGGTCAGACACACACAGGGTCAGACACACACACACACACACACACACACACACACACAGGGTCAGACTCACACACACACACACACAGGGTCAGACACACACAGGGTCAGACTCACACACACACACACACACACACACACACACACACACACACACACACACACAGACACACACAGGGTCAGACACACACAGGGTCAGACACACACAGGGTCAGACACACACAGGGTCAGACACACACACACACACACACAGGGTCAGACACACACACACACACACACACAGGGTCAGACACACACAGGGTCAGACTCACACACACACACACACACAGGGTGAGGTCAGACACACACATACACACAAGGTCAGACACACAGGGTCAGATCACACACAGGGTCAGACACACACACACAGGGTCAGACACACACAGGGTCAGACACACACACACACACACACACAGGGTCAGACACACACAGGGTCAGACACACACACACACACACACACACAGGGTCAGACACACACAGGGTCAGACACACACAGGGTCAGACACACACACACAGGGTCAGACACACACAGGGTCACACACACACACACTTCTCCAGACTGCATTATCTTCTGCACACAGACGTAACTCATCTCTCACTGGAGGCTGTAATACTTCAGTTCAGTGAATCTCGTTCATACGGCAGATACACACTCGTCGCTCTACACTCACACTTCAGTTACTTACAGGAGTGACCGCAGTTTATTACCATAAACATAATAATCTAGGAGATTCACTTATGTCATGTGCAATGTGTGTGTAAACAGTAAATAAGCTAAATTATTATAATAAATAAAAATAATTGCGACTATCTTCTGACTATATTTTGAGTTTATCTCACGATTCTGACTTTGTTTTCATGCAAATGTGAGTTTATATCATGAATATGAACAAATTGCATTCATGAAGTGAAGATCCAAACAGAACCAGGTTTGAGTAGTTCACAGTTTCACAGCTCATGTTCTGGTCGACACGCTGTGCTCTTGATAAATGCTTTTTGGAGACTTGAGTCACTTTTAAAGTCGGCATGAAATCACATTTGACAAATCTTCTTTTTATATGTAATATAGTAGTGTTTATTATAAAGGATTTATCTGTGCACTTCATAATTTTTTTTAAATTCATGTACCCTTATAATCTTTAATCAAATACATTACCCTTCCCTCCCCCCTCGTAACGACCTCTCTTCTCTTTCGGTCACGTGTCACGGCCAGAGCTCTCGGTGCACCGCCTCTCAGAGAACCTGTCAGTGTCAGTAACGGTGGGGAGAAATCCTCCACAACTGAATGTAAACTGGCATTCAAATCTGCCTCCATTTTGTTTGCAACGCCCAACCTCCAACGATCCAATCAATTCCCGAAGGACGAAATCAAGCCCCGCCCTACATTTTCTTCTAATTTCAGAAGCCGTTTCACTCGGATATACGTCACAAGGAAAAAATGACAATCTCAACTTCCGTTTCATGCCGACTTTAATGTGTGAAATGCATTGCATTAGATACACACATCAAGTGAAGTGGAATCTGCGCTCACATGATGCTGGAGAGCTTCTCTGAGCAATTCTTTACATTATTTTAATCTCCAGCTGATTCTTCATGGCTGTATGAAGTCAGACTCCTGATTCCCACACACAGAAGCCGATTGCCCTGTGCTCAAGTCCTTCATGGTGTTCGTGGCAGTGCAGTCGAACACAACGCTCATAGTGATGTGGAGAGTGACATCAGTCCGCTCTCGTATTACAGTATTTCACACTCTCCAGGCCTTCAGCCGGTCCGCTGTTTCCACTGATGTTCCTGAAGCCGTAATTCAGTCTGTGTCACGATGGTGAACGGATCCTGGCTCTGGAAGGAAGGGAAGAGAGAATGTTGTTTGCATCTGTCAGTGTTTTCATTCCTCATTTTGCATTCAATTACAATTCAAATCTGCATTATAAAGCCCTAAATGTTCATGCTAGAATCCTTCCATTAAAGTCACAAAAGCCGACTCACGAAACCCAGAGAAGCGCGTGAGAAGCCCTGGCCCGTTAGAGACTCAGTTCTTCAGCCAAACATCAGGCAGTTCTGCCGGAATCAAAACCAATCCACGGGATTTCTGCACTATAGAACGAGTGTCATTCTGCTGACATCATTGCACTGGTTGTCCCTGTTCCCAGCCTGGGAAACTAGAAGTCGAATCAGCTTTACATCGAAACTGCAGACACACACATGAGCATCAGTCCTGTAGGACACAACTCAAACACTAAAGCAACACCAGACGGCCATCTCGGCTTCACTGATCACTGCCTAAAATCGAATCATTATAGCTTAGTTTCTTCAATGAACACATGACTTGTCTTGTTGTATTACATGCCGTGTAAATAGATAAAATTTAGCATATGTGCATTTGTAAACCAATACAGCTGACTTGACTGACATTTTCTGATTATCTAGAGTAATCGCGGCTGTTAATGTGGTCAGCAAAACTCTTATAAGATATTTTTGAGTTTGATTCCACCAAACATGCTTCTCTATCCTGCCTTTCTATGAAAAGGGATTGTGGTTCAGAAGAGAATCGCACTGGTTCTCAGTACTGTTGATATTAGCTCATTGCGCACACATGGACATCTGCCACATCACTGGAATCAGGTCAGGATCTCATCATACCCTTTATGTATGAATGTGGGAGAAATGAACCTGCTTGAAGCAATAAATCATAATCTCGCTTTATTTTTAAAGCTGTTTTTATTTCTTATTTGTAATGTTGTTTGCTTATGGATCAGTTGCTCCAGTCGGATAAATGATCTGAGAATAGACAGTCATGTCTGTGCAGGTTTCTTGATAACCCGTCCTCCGGTTGCATCATGATGCATCAATGTATTGATCGATTTCAGAAGAGTCAAGAGTTTAGGTGCTAATCTTTGAAGAGCTGTGAGAAAAATTTCCGTGTATCACATTATGAAACATCAGTCAGACCACGTCCATTTCCCTGATCAGTGGGCGGGGCTTTCGCGCTCCCTGCAGGCCATTGGCTGAGCCCCGGAAAGGTGTGCGCGGAAGGCGGGTGCTCGTGCGATATAAACAGAGCACCGGTGAGCGCGTGCAAGGTGATCCGCGCGCACTGGAGAAGATGCTGCCTCAGACTCTGAAGGTGACCGGCAGGAGCGCGCTCCCTCTGCTCAGGTGGGCTGACGTCATGCGCGCGCCCCCGTCTCAGCAGGTGAAGACGCTCGAGCACATGCCCGGACCTTCTTCCGCGGGATTCCTGTGGGATCTGTTCTTCAGACGCGGACTCACTCGCCTCCACCAGCTGCAGGTGCGCAGGTCTAGTAGGATCTTATTCGATTCCTATTTGAGTTGCTTCCAAATATTGATACTTATGGTTATTATGTTTATTTTATTTTAAGGACCCTTATGCTCATCTAAATTATGTCCCATTCTGTTACAATGGCAGCAGCTCTGCAGCGACTACATGTAGTGCATTATTATTCATCCTAAAAATTAAAATGCAGCTATATGTTTGCATGTATAAAGATCTAATTCATACAAATTTAAAGTGTATGTCATTCCAATTTAAAATACTATTTGAGAAATATTAATACCTGTGAACATGCATTGAGTTTTCTCCACTCTCCAGTAATGCACTTTTAAATGTATTTGTTTAAATGAAATTATTATTGTGTACTTATTTATTTGAATCAAAGTTTTCATAATTTCTAAAACACATTTGCATTGTTTATATGAATCTAATTTGTATTATTTTAATCCAATTTTAATTTATTTGAATATATTTAATTAATGAATAATTTTTACCTTTTTTTTACACTGTTTTACTCTAAACATTTCCGTGGATCCCAAGTAAGAACTCTTTTGTTTTTGTTTGTTTGTTTTTTAAACCTGACACCCAATCATGTTAAACGTGTCTCTGTGCATTAGTGTACACCTGACACAGTCAGATCGTGAATGATAAGCTCATAAATGATAAGATCGTGAATGATAAGTTCATAAATGATAAGCTCATAAATGATAAGATCGTGAATGATAAGTTCATAAATGATAAGATCGTGAATGATAAGATCGTGAATGATAAGTTCATAAATGATAAGATCGTGAATGATAAGATCGTGAATGATAAGATCGTGAATGATAAGATCGTGAATGATAAGATCGTGAATGATAAGATCGTGATTCGTGAATGATAAGTTCATAAATGATAAGATCGTGAATGATAAGTTCATAAATGATAAGATCGTGAATGATAAGATCGTGAATGATAAGATCGTGAATGATAAGCTCATAAATGATAAGATCGTGATTCGTGAATGATAAGCTCATAAATGATAAGATCGTGAATGATAAGCTCATGAATGATAAGATCGTGATTCGTGAATGATAAGCTCATAAATTATAAGATCGTGAATGATAAGCTCATGAATGATAAGCTCATAAATGATAAGATCGTGATTCGTGAATGATAAGTTCATAAATGATAAGCTCATGAATGATAATCTCATGAATGATAAGATCGTGATTCGTGAATGATAAGTTCATAAATGATAAGATCGTGATTCGTGAATGATAAGCTCATAAATGATAAGATCGTGAATGATAATCTCATGAATGATAAGATCGTGATTCGTGAATGATAAGTTCATAAATGATAAGATCATGAATGATAAGCTCATAAATGATAAGATCGTGAATGATAAGCTCATAAATAATAAGATCGTGAATGATAAGCTCATAAATGATAAGATCATGAATGATAAGCTCATAAATGATAAGATCGTGAATGATAAGCTCATAAATGATAAGATAGTGATTCGTGAATGATAAGTTCATAAATGATAATCTCATGAATGATAATCTCATGAATGATAAGCTCATAAATGATAAGATCGTGAATGATAATCTCATGAATGATAAGATCGTGATTCGTGAATGATAAGTTCATAAATGATAAGATCGTGATTCGTGAATGATAAGTTCATAAATGATAAGCTCATGAATGATAATCTCATGAATGATAAGATCGTGAATGATAAGCTCATGAATGATTAGATCGTGAATGATAAGCTCATGAATGATAAGCTCATGAATGATAAGATCGTGAATGATAAGATCGTGAATGATAAGCTCATGAATGATAAGCTCATGAATGATAAGCTCATGAATGATAATCTCATGAATGATAAGATCGTGAATGATAAGATCGTGAATGATAAGCTCATGAATGATAATCTCATGAATGATAAGATCGTGAATGATAATCTCATGAATTATAATCTCATGAATGATAATCTCATGAATGATAATCTCATGAATGATAATCTCATGAATGATAATCTCATGAATGATAAGATCGTGAATGATAAGATCATGAATGATAAGATCGTGATTCGTGAATGATAAGATCATAAATGATTAGATCATGAATGATAAGCTCATAAATGATAAGCTCATGAATGATAATCTCATGAATGATAATCTCATGAATGATAATCTCATGAATGATAATCTCATGAATGATAAGATCGTGAATGATAAGATCATGAATGATAAGATCGTGATTCGTGAATGATAAGATCATAAATGATTAGATCATGAATGATAAGCTCATAAATGATAAGCTCGTGAATGATGTGTGTGATGTGTGGCTGTGTGCAGCTGGAGGGCAGGAGTAAGTACGGGCCGGTGTGGAAGGCCAGTTTCGGACCCATCCTGACGGTTCATGTGGCAGAACCGGATCTGATCGAGCAGGTTCTGCGTCAGGAGGGCCATCAGCCCATGCGATCCGATCTCTCGTCCTGGAAGGATTACCGGCGGCTCCGGGGAGAAGGGTTCGGACTCCTGACAGCGTGAGTACAAGCGCTCAGCAAACACGCTTTCCCAGCGCTTCACTCGCCTGACCGGAGGCAGCTCTTCCTGAACAACCACAGTTTTTAAAAACCTTGTTTGCAGGAGTAATCAGGTGCAAAATGTGCTGTATCTGACAGGCTACACAAGGGGATTCACTCTATTATGACTTTATTTACAAAACCTTTCCATACGATAACTGGCAAACTCCAAAAAGGACAAAGGTCATCATAAAAGAAGTCCATAATGTTCTCTTAGGGTGTATTCACACCTGCCTTGTTTGGTTCGATTGAATCGAACTCTAGTTCGTTTCCCCCCTTGGTGCGGACCTTTTGGGCAGGTGTGAATACAGCAATCGAACTCGGGTGCGGACCAAACAACCGAACCGAGACCCAGCTGAAGAGGTGGTCTCGGTACGGTTCCAAACGAACTCTGGTGCGGACCAAACAACCGAACCGAGACCCAGCTGAAGAGGTGGTCTCGGTACGGTTCCAAACGAACTCTGGAACGGTTCGTTTACGGTGTGAACATGAACTGACCCAATTGCAAGAAAGCACTGCGCCTTTGAGTTAACAGGCTTCCGTAGTCGGAGATTTTGGCATAATGCTTTGTGTTATTGTTGTTCAAGTGCGAAAGAGAATTCCATTCCGGCGCGCTGTCTGGCCACACGATACTGTTGCGCGTCTTTCTGCGCGTCATGTGTGTGCATCATTGGAATGGAATGAATGAATGAGTGTGTGCATCAGGACATTCACATACAGAGCGTTCTCTTTAGTCTAATCGCGCATAGATGCAAAAAAAGCTTTTGCAGTTCATATAATGTAACGATAGTTACAATACAAGGATGATGCTGCGTTAAACTGGACAAACTTAATCGCAAGCGTTAACATTGACAGCACTTGTTAGCAGTATATACAATAAGAATCTCATTATTTGAATGTGTGAACAACATAGCCCCTCTCTATGAATGAAAACTTTATACCTTATCCGTCTTCTGCGCAGTTTCTTCATATTGCGTTTGTACAGAATAACACAAAATTAGTAAAATAACAAATATTGCTGTACGAAATATCTCCATGCTGAGCCTTTTTTGCACTTCCTGATTTCCCTACTTGAGAATCCTTGTCCAATGAATGGACGACCTTAGCACACGTGTGGTTTTGTTTACAAATTTTGGTTCACTTGCAAAAAGAGCAGTGTGAAAGCGAACCGTACCAAAAAAAAAAAAAAAAAATTATTTGGTCCGGACCAAAGCAAGTGAACTATCGGACTTTCCTGGTGTGAATACACCCTTAATGTAAGTGAATTAGATGAAATGCGCTGAGGAAGTCTGAGCACGGTACTGAAACTGACGGAAGCGGTTTACTGTTAATCAGGTGTAATGCTTAAGAAGAGATGAGTTGCATGACCGGACACGGTCACAACAGTTACGAGTCCAGATATCAGCATCTGCCACTGACTCCTGCTTTTGCTGCAGATCGCTGTTTTATATCCATACATGCTATAATCACACACTGGTCTTTATTAGAATTGATATTACTGTGTTCTGAGAATTGTCTGATTCTCTTAGTAAGTTGAAGATTGCAGCCGTTCTCCTAGTAGTGTCATCTTTTGCTTGTGATTTATGGTATGCTTGTAGTCATTGATCTCTCGGTGTGTGTGTGTGTGTTCAGTGAAGGCGAGGAGTGGCAGAGCGTGCGGCGTCTGCTGGGGAAACACATGTTACGACCCCAAGCTGTGGAGGCGTACGACCTCACGCTGAACTCCGTCGTCACGGACCTCGTGGAGAAGCTCAAGCTACGCCAGCGGGAGAACGCCAGCGGCCTCGTGTCCGACGTCTCGGCCGAGTTCTACCGCTTCGGTCTCGAAGGTGAAGCACTGACACTCCTGAAGAGCCAGTTACCGGTTTATCAGATACACCAGAGTTAGGTGTGTGACTTACACTGTCTCTCTGCTCTTCCCTGAAGGGATTTCCTCGGTGCTGTTCGAGTCCAGGATCGGCTGCCTCGACCCAGTGGTTCCAGTGGAGACGGAGCGCTTCATCCAGTCCATCAACAGCATGTTCGTCATGACTCTCCTCACGATGGCTATGCCTCAGTGGCTCCACCGGCTCCTTCCCAAACCCTGGGAAACCTTCTGCCGCTGCTGGGACGACATGTTCCGGTTCGGTGAGTGTCCGCAAGCGTAGAAGAGGTTAAAGCGTTACTGGGTTCAGAATTGGCTCCCTTAAATTAATGAGTGTGAAATGGAATAGAAACGGACACATCTTGTAGGAATTGAGATTCAACTTGAAACTTGTGAAATTCAATGGGTAATGCATTCTAGGAAATTAAGTGTTTTATAAACCAGTTTATATTTGTAAGTCAAGTGGCATTTGTAAATCTCTTTGGATGAAAGCATCAGCTAAATGAATAAATGTAAATATATAAAGGTGACATTTCAAAGATATCTGTCTGTAAAAACCATCAAACATCAAAGACGTTAAAACCTTCAAACAAATATGGTGCATGAAATTTTAAAAGCTCTGGTGGAAGGGGGAAATTATTCTTTGAAAAAGTAATATTGGCAATGCGGGGGTGTTTCCCCAAAGCATTATTAGCCAGCTTTCATCATTACTAACATAGTTAAATCATAGTTCCAACAAACAGTCCCAAACCGCATCGCAGAGATGTTTGTTTGGACCTATAGCTCTTTACCTGTGGTTAGAAAATACTCTTGAGCAAAACAACAACCTGACATTCAGTACAATATAATCTATATACAATCTATTTCAATCTCTATATATTAGTGTCAAGAAGAAAGTGTTTTTGTGGAGAAAGCATGTATACGGGAGGGACGTGTATTTACGAAGCGCATGTAAACATGAACTCTTGTCTTCAGTAGGTTTCTCTTAATAAACGTCTTTCTGTTGTTCATGCAAATGAGCCTTAATAATCTGTTGTCCGTTCTATTCGAGTGGATTAATGGGCAGAAGTTAAGTAGTAGTTAAGCAATAAGTTTTACAGAGCAGCTTTACAGAGATAACAGGAAAATACAACAAAGTTTGTTTCCAGGAGAGCATAGCGTCACAGTCCAGCTTAAGTAAGTTCAGTGATGTTTCATTTTGTTGTAAAAAAGTTATTAATTTAGTTTGTGTATATATATATATATATATATATATATATATATAGCCGCTCTGGAGAAAAGCGTGATGTCATCGTCCAGCTCAGTTCAGTTCTCATATAATGCTGTCAATGCCGGAAGATCAATATTATGTGTTGAATATTAAATGAAATGTTAAATTTAATGTCCCCAACTAAGCAAGCCAAAAGACAATGGCAACAAATGTGAAAAAAGGCAAAAAAGGCGACAGTGGCAAGGAATGCTTTGTTTTTTATTTGTTGAACATCGATTCAATTTTTACCCTTAAATGGGTTTGGGAGTTTTTCGTATTTCCTAGTTCAGGGAACAGACACAGTCTCTATATGATGATATCTAAGTGAAAGAGGCTCTATGTGATGGGATTTATCTGACCTCAGTGACGTGAGGCCGCTAGCAGACGGTCGGTTTAGCCAGTCTGTCTGCTTCCTGACCTGAGCCCCAGATTGTCATGTTTTATCTCTAAGACTATGAGCCAAATTACTAGAGAGAAGAGCAGCACCTACCCAGGAGGGATGGATACCATCTCTATTCAACAGGTCAGGTCTGCCTCAAAAACTTTTCCAATTGTCTATGAATTCTATATTATTTTGCGGACACCCCTTAGACAGCCAACCATTGAGTGAGCACAGTCTACTAACTATCTCATCACTCCTGCGAACAGGAAGGGGGCCAGAGCAAATTACAGAGCCTGACATCATACTTGCGAGTTCACACACCTCTTTAACATTAATTTTGGTGATCTCCGACTGGCGGAGTCGAACATCATTAGTGCCAACGTTAATAATAATCTTAGACAATTTACGGTTAGCATTAGCAAGCACTTTAAAATTTGCTTTGATGTCAGGCGCTCTGGCTCCCGGCAAACATGTGACTGTGGTGGCTGGTGTCTCTATTTTCACGTTCCGTGTGATCGAATCGCCAATTACTAGGGCACAATCAGCAGGATTCACAGTGGGTGTTTCACTGAGTGGGGAGAACTGGTTTAATGTTGTAATCGGAACAGAAGAGCGGTGTTGTGTCCCGCGACTACAGCGCCTCACCGTCACCCAGTTGCCCTGCGGCACGGGCTCTACAGCCGGAACCCAACAATGTACAATAGTGACTAAAGCATTTACCAAACCGCCCCAGAACCTGTCGTAAAGAGTGCATGTGGCTTAAATGCTGGAAATGTCATGTGGATGTTTTTCATCTGTACTGTGATTCTGGCCGTACTGATGTGGATTGTAATGTCCTTAATGATGTGTGAGATTTTGAAACTCTTCCTGTCATCACAGCGAAAGGTCACATCGACCAGCGTCTTGAGGAGGAGAGGCAGAAGATGTCTCGAGGAGAGCGTTTAGAGGGACGATACCTGACCTATTATCTGTCTCAGGCCGGCGTGCCGCTGAAGTCTGTGTACAGTAATGTGACCGAGCTGCTCCTCGCTGGCGTCGACACGGTATGAATGAATTAAATGAAATTTACTTTATTGTCCCTGATAGGGAAATTTGTAATGCCAGCAGTTTGCCAAAACCTGATACATAAAAAAAATTACACAAAATATTCATACACATCATACACACAAAAATAAATAGACTTCACTTATTCATGTTCAACAGTCTAATTGATACGGGTACAAAAGAGTTTTTGAACCTGTTCCTGTCTCTAACGGGGAGTTCTGGACCAGGAGTTCATAAGAGCGGTAGAGTACATGAGACGGCTCGCTTAAAATCCTTTTTGCCTCATTTAATGTGCGTTGCTCATACAGAGTCTGAATACTAGGATAGTCTTTCAGTCCAATCATTCTCATCGAAGTTCGAACAATATATAGTATCTTTGATTTAGATTTTACAGAAAGATCACCGTACCAAGTGGACAGACCATATTCTGATCACACTTTCTAGTACAGGCTGATGACAGATAATTTTCAACTCCATAGGAAAATGATCTTCCTTTTTTGTCAGTCTGGGTTAGGGTTAGTATGAATCTCCTTCATCAGCCCTGTGACATTAAACAGGCATTTGCAGGGTTTTTAAAATGACATTATTGAGATCTACACAAATTAAATTAATACCATATGTCCATTCAAAACATACCCATAAAAAGTTTTATCTCAGATTTATCTATTTAATAAAAAAAGTTTGCACATTTAACAAGGACTTAATACTGCTTATCAGCAAAACAGTGTTATTGCAAGTTTAAAGAGGACCTATTCTACCCTTTTACAGTCGTGATGTAGTTTCAGACTCTACTAGAACAGGTTTTCCTGCTTGAATGTTGATTATTCTCCTCATATTCTCCATTGTTGCGGCTCCTCTCTTCCCAGTCTGTCGATAACGCTCTGTTTACTTCCTGTCTCTATGAAGCCCCTCCTCCTGATGACAGTGATTCGGCTCTGTCTATTAAAGCTTTGATAAGTCTGATCACAGCGAACATTCAGATCTGAGTTCTGATCCAGAGAGAGGCGTTGTCATGTTTAGAAATGAAACGGCTTCACAAACACACAGTGTCATTAATTCTGTCTTACAATCATTCAGATTATCACAGAAGTACTGGGATAAAAGTTTATAGTTCAGATATAAACACTGATGTCTACGGTAGTGATCAAAATGGAGTAAATCACCATTTGAAAGAAACTTGATGCTTCAGATAAATATTGCATCAATTACATCTTTACTCCAGTAGGGGGACACAAGTGACTGTTTAAGAAAAATGCGTTCAAAAACTCTGATTCATCCAGGGACGAAACAAGTGAAGTCTTAATAAGTGAAGTGAGTCAGTGAATCATTCATTGAAATCGATTTTATTAGATTTTTTTAATAGTTGAATATTAAATATATCTGGGGGATCTTGTTGTCAGCGACTATACTCCTTATATCTTCCGACCCTAGCAACGCCCCTCACGTGAACCCTAATTAAAAAGTTTTACACCCAAGTAAATGAGTTTTACTTTTGACAAATCTGTTGAAATTCGTGTCTACCAGTCATATCAGTAAGCCTTAATAAAAGCTTCACAGGCGCAGATACGCGATTGACTGGGTTAACCAACCCGTTATACACTTCACAGGCTTTCAATGGCCTTGGTCAAGTTTTCTACAGCGATTTACACAGTACAGATGGTTTTAAAGCAGATTCACAGTAATAAACAGAATCAGTGATGCAAACTTCATCAAATATGAGACTTGTTCAGTTTTAGCTATCAGCAACTCTACAGAAGACGAGAGTCATTATTCAGATCAATGCACTTTAACTACTACTTTTGCACGATGCTGCACCCACGCCTCTAGATCCATGATAACTCATACCTTTATATAACATCAGGCCGATATTCTAATAAAGACTGAGGTTAGGTGTCCAAATACTAATTCTTGATACATGTTTCTGTCTGATTCCCGCTGTAGATCTCCAGCACGCTGTCCTGGTCCCTGTACGAGCTCGCTCGGCATCGGGAGGTCCAGACGGCCCTGCGGGACGAGGTTCTGAGCGTGATGAAGGACCGGACCGTCCCAAACGCAGGCGACGTCGCTGCCATGCCTCTCATGAAGGCCGTGATCAAGGAAATCCTCAGGTAGAAGGACTTCACTCTTCTGTCAAATACAGTTTATCCGTTCCTTTTCTTTTGATGAGTTCATTATATTAAATTAAGCACTGAAACATTTCCAGGCTCTATCCTGTAATTCCGGCCAATGCGAGAGTCATCCCAGACAAAGATATTAAAGTTGGAGGATATCTCATCCCTAGAAACGTGAGTAAAGCTTTTGTGCTTTACAACTTTACATGTGCACTTGGTGAAGCTGGTGTTTACAGGCGTGTGTGTGATCAATCCTTCAGACTCTGATCACTCTCTGCCACTACGCCACGTCCCGTGACCCGAAACACTTCCGAGACCCGGACTCCTTCGTCCCGCAGCGCTGGATGAGTCGCTCCGAGGGAAACCATCCGTTCGCCTCGGTTCCCTTCGGCGTGGGCAAACGCAGCTGCATCGGCCGGCGCATCGCTGAGCTGGAGCTTTACCTGGCGCTTTCCAGGGTATTTATTCTGCAATCAAGCCTGCATGTCTGTCACTGTGTTATTGATCTTATTGAGAACAATTCGCCCATGCTTGCTTTGTTTTTTTTGCCCCTGTAATATTTAATCAGAATATGATCACTGGATCTTCCAGTGAGTTGTCAGTCTTCTCTCTGGTGACGTATGCAGGATTCTCCTAGAGTCCCTCAGTGTCCTGCAGAGTTTACTTCCAACCAGCTTTTCCCAGCGATCCTGAAGAGCGTGATTAGCTCGTTCAGGTGTGTTTGATTAGGGTTGGAACTAAACTCTGCTGGACAGTGATTTAGTGCACGTAAGCTCCGCCCCTGCAATACTTAAACCCCGCCCCTGCGACACCTAAGCCCCGCCCCTGCAATACTTAAACTCCGCCCCTTCAACACATAAGCTCCGCCCCTGCAATACTTAAACCCCGCCCCTTCAACACGTAAGCTCCGCCCCTGCAATACTTAAACCCCGCCCCTTCAACACGTAAGCTCCGCCCCTGCGACACCTAAGCCCCGCCCTGAAATATTTAAACCCCACCCCTCCAACACCTAAGCCCCGCCCCTGCAATACTTAAACCCCGCCCCTTCAACATGTAAGCTCCGCCCCTGCAATACTTAAACCCCACCCCTTCAACACATAAGCTCCGCCCCTGCGACACCTAAGCTCCACCCCTGCAATACTTAAACTCCGCCCCTGCAACACCTAAGCTCCGCCCCTGCTATACTTAAACCACGCCCCTTCAACACGTAAGCTCCGCCCCTGCGACACCTAAGCCCCACCCTGCAATATTTAAACTCCGGCCCTGCAATACTTAAACCCCACCTCTTCAACATGTAAGCTCCGCCCCCGCAATACTTAAACCCCACCCCTTCAACACGTAAGCTCCGCCCCTGTGACACCTAAGCTCCACCCCTGCAATACTTAAACTCCGCCCCTGCAACACCTAAGCTCCGCCCCTGCTATACTTAAACCACGCCCCTTCAACACGTAAGCTCCGCCCCTGCGACACCTAAGCTCCACCCCTGCAATACTTAAACTCCGCCCCTGCAACACGTAAGCTCCGCCCCTGCAATACTTAAACCACGCCCCTTCAACACGTAAGCTCCGCCCCTGCAACACCTAAGCCCCGCCCCTGCAATATTTAAACTCTGCCCCTCCAACACCTAAGCTCCGCCCCTGCTATACTTAAACTCCGTGACAGGTGGTGTGCTCCAGGTTTGTGTGTTTCTTTGATTCATGACACATTTTTTCTCTCACAGATTTTAATGCACTTTGATGTGGAGCCGGCAAAAGAGAACGACACAGTCCGTCCGATGACCAGAACTCTTCTGGTTCCAGAGAGACCGATCAACCTGCGTTTCATTGAGCGCTGACCTGGAGGTCAGAGGTCATCAGGACCCGGTGAGACGGAACTGGCCGTCTCTGATGGTGAGATCCAGAGAGCCAGGAGGATTCTGGGACGTCCCGAAGAGAAGCAGGCCTGAGGCTAAACGGGTCCCGAACCGGCGATGTGTCTGCGACTCCCTGTGCGACGGATCTGCGAGACTCAGAGACTGGGCACTGAAGTGTGACCTCGCATCCATCATCCGTGCAAACATACGAATGTAAGAAACGCTAAAGACGTCCATTGTTGGATGAAGATGCACAGAAAGCACTTTTGGTGTCTTCGGGACTCGGAAAACGGAAAGGCACAGGAATCTCGCCAATATATTTACAGCTGTTCATTTGTAGATACTTTTATGTAAAACAGCTGAACACAAATGAGGAGAGTCCATGGAGGGCAGCTTATGGTCAAATGCAGATTTGGTGCTAATTTACTGTCAGTTTAAGAACCACTGTGATCCGTCTCTGGTCTTATTCGCTGTGGTCACTTGCTGTCTATTGAGAAGAACGATGTCAGCGTTGGCGGACACCACATGTTCACCGCATGTTAGCCGCATGTTAGCCGCATGTTCACCGCATGTTAGCCGCATGTGCTTTATAACTCCATATAAAGATACTTTTCACACGTATTGTTGCATTAACTGTGAACTGGCATAACATCAAATCTCAAAAGATCAGCCATCCATACATACATATTCAGGAATAATAATAGACTCTAAATAATTGCTGATAAACCATATTCAGTGTGATTAATTAATAAATCACACCATATGTGTTTAGTAAATAGGTCTCACTTTATTTTAGGTGTCTTTAACTACAATGTACAAAAAAACTGAATGACACTTAATTTGAAGGTGTCCTTGTTATAGTGTAATTATACATTTTAAATATTGAATAATATTAATCAACTACATGTACTTTAGGGGTTGGTTTAGGGTTAGTTGCATGTATGTAATTATGCATAATTTACTGTTATTACTATAGTAAGTTGTTATGGATGTGGACACTGGTAAGGTTAAGGGTTAAAGGTCGACAGTGTAATTATTATAGATGGAATTACAGAAATTAATCACAGCTGCAATTACATGCAGGTATTTTTAAAAATAATTACAATGTGAAAACATCTATGTACACACTAAGTGCATTTTATCAAATGGTTAATTTACATGTTAGTCCATACTAGATAGAGACACTTAATGTAAATGGCACCATTCGTTAATTTAATATTTTCTTTCAAGTAAACTTCAGTGGTAACTGCATTTACTGTATTCTTAAAAAACATTCATGTTGCTGGTTATAAAGTGTCTGCTTTTGATAAAAACTCACAAAAAAACAAGAATACTTTACTTTGTGGCTCGCTCTTATTATTATGCAGTCCATGATATTCACAGAAGCTTGACCTACTTCAGGGACTGACGCGGCGGGTTTCTCAGAAAGAGATTGCGGAGTTCTGCTGTTCTAGTAACACAGGCTGATGAACACAAGGCCACTCTGTGTTTGCTCTGACAGTTCCAGCCGAAGTCTTTGACAGATGTACAGGGATCAGAGTGATCAAAGCTCATGTGTGCTTCCATCATTATTACTGGGAACTGTGCAGGAGCCGATCAGCTTCGTCAGTCCGGGCTGTCCAGATGTGGACTGGGAGTCGCCGCTAGAACCCTAAAGCACGTTCTGGTGACCATGTTAAGATTCAGTGTCATAACTGGGCGGGAATTTATTTTATAACATAACAGCAAATAAGAATAGAAATAAATTGAAGAACTGAAGTCAATCAAATGGTAATCTCTAGATTGTTAGAACTCTGCCATTCTCAAGTATATTATCGTTTTATTGAAAAATCTTAATGCTATGCTTATTTGAAAGCTCCAAGTGTGAATCTAATTGTAATAGCAATCAAAAATAGTTATGTTATTTGTGCACAGCAAGTCCTGAACTGATGGAAGGGTGCCATCCTGTGGTGCAGAACTGAAAGCCTGACATATGAAATAATACTCAGAAAAATAGTATGATTATGATAAATAGTATGGCTCATATTGTATGATATATTGAGAATATTGTCGAGGAGGAAAAAACACCTGACAACAAAAAACAGTGATATTTAAAGGTTAAATTCAATATAGCCTACAGCTTGTTGATGATGCAGACTATATACAGGCGAGCAGATGAACCAGAACATGAATGCAACATTCAGCGTTTTTCCATAGAAAACCATTATAAAGAAAATGCTTTACCCTTTCCGTTGACCAGCCTACACATTACGAGTCGTGGTCTCATTGGCACAAATTATTTTAGATGAGATTAGATCCAGAACTGTATTGATCCCAGATTGATTCCTTTCTTGTATGTCACGGACTTCCGAAGCTTTGTTTGGTCACACGCTTTTTCTGCTCTGCTGTGATTTGTTAGATATTGTGGAGAAAACAAGTCTGACCACCAGATGTCGCTAATGCGCATTGTGCTAAAAGCCTTGAGTAATGAACCGTTTTTCGGCACAATTTGATGAAAGCCTCAAACGCTTCACAAAGCCTCGGCTTCCCTTCACTATTATAAAGAAAATGCTTTACCATTTGGCATTTTGCGTTGAGGTTCTAAGTTGGTGGTTCAATCCCTGGTTCCACTAGCCTGGCATGCCAGACCTGCATCAAGATGTTAGGTCTGGGAACTCTCCATTGACATGCCTCAATCCGAGGGGCGGGATAAACGGTTACCTTTCAAAATCCCTCTGCACGCAATAGGATAGCGCTACAACCAACCAGAGCAACGAACGGTTGTGGATGAGTGAGTCCCATGCGTTTTTCCACCAGCCGAGCTAATTGATATATTAAACTTTTGCCGTATCAGGACGGCAAAAATCCGAACACATCTTCCTTTTTTAAGAATGACTTAAGGGACGTTCTCTTAACTCCAAGTCCTCCAGAGTCGCGGCCAAAGTCGATTCGAAAGACCGCTGCATCTTCATTGTTTTCAAGTAGCAGGAAAATCACCTATGGAAATCACGCGGAACGTCATGAACTGTGCCGTCATTGTGTTAAGCCCGCCCGCCGACTCTATACACGATGTGATTGGCCCGACCAGTTTTTGGTTTTTCCAGCTCAAAAGCCTATGGAGAGTTGCTAGACCACACTGGCTGCGAAATAATTTTCGCTGCCGCTAGGGTGCGTCTAGATTTCTAGGCTATGGTTCCACCTGACCAAGTGTCGAGGTGTGTGTGTGTCTGTGTGTGTGTGTGTGTGTGCTCCTGGCGAGCTGGATGGCTTGCATGGCTGACACCGCCGTCGGTGTATGAATGAGTGAGTGAATGGGTGAATGTGAGGCAATAGTAAAGTGCTTTGGTGGCCATTGGGTCTGTGAAAGCGCTATATAAATGCAGTCCATTTAGTGGCGGTTGTCCTGTCCCTCTCCCCGGCACTCAACGCTCCGGGCCGGAGCTTACGGCCATGCGATTTTCTGTCTTGAAGAAAACAGGAAGAAAAGCACTTTCGCTAATAAACTGCCTAATAGATTTATAATTTATGCTGCGCAACGATTTTCAATTGATTGTGCTGCACGTATCAGAAGATTATTACAGAAGACTTCGATGGAGGACTTTGCAGCTTTACTCGCAAACTACTGTTCCTGTTCATCAATATGGTGAGAAGCACACCTGCTATAAACCTAAATATACTCAAATTAATTAAATTAAAAGTGTACTGTCTGGGTAGTAATAGAGGATGTTTTGTATTTCGTAATAGTATTTTCGTGCGGTGACCATGGGAACATGTGTGACGTAGCCATGCGCTCTTAGTCAAGTCACCTTTATTTATATAGCGCTTTTTACAGTACAGAGTGTTTCAAAGCAGCTTTACAGAGATAACAAGAAAATAATGCAACAAAGTTTGTTACTGTTGGACAGCAGATATAGAAGAAAATAGCGTCTTCGTCCAGCTCAGTTCAGTTGTCATATAATGGTGTCAATGCAGGCGATCAATAATATTGTTAAATATTTAATGTCCCCAACTAAGCAGCCGAGAGCCAAGGCGACAGTGCAGGACCCGAAACTCCATCAGGGACAGAATGCAGGAAAACCCTCGGCAGAACCCAGACTCAAGCCGTTTCTCAATGTCAAGGAAGGATCCTCGGAAGCCGGAATTTCGAGGATGCTACGTCATCGACATCCGTCGAAGGACTGTTCCAATGTCGAGGATCCTCAGAATTTCAACCAAGGACTGAGTCCTTCGTTCGGAAAATATCCCATACACAGGAAAGGATGCATATGTGTAGACTTCGCGCTCTCAAATCGCCCACAATCCTATGCGCGTAGCTTTGCTATCTTGTTAAAAAAATACACAATGTCGGACGTTAGCGGAGTCGGAGCAATAACGGGGCAATATGCTTTCAAATGTAAATATTTACGTTACCATACATTTGTTATAACCGTCATATAAGTAACGTTTAAATGCCAGTACAAATTACTACCGTATTGATATTACAAATTATACAAATATATACTAATTTAATACGTTATTGATGGCTAACTGAACCGGACCTGTCATTTTAACAATTGTTAGCTTGTTTGCCGTCACCGGCATTTCTTTTATAAATAACTACTTAAGTTGTACAAAGTAATGTAACGTTAATATTATACCATTCGGAGCGTTATTCATAGCTTTCTCGTCTTTTTTAGCAGGGACCAACGGACCTTTTCACTGACGTAATGACGCAATAACGTGCACTTGCTAGCCTGTTCCATTTACGCGATCTCCGAATGCTAAGAGGAGCCTCGCCTAGCCTCTGAAGGAAATGACTTGGAAGGACGAGTCCTGCCAAGGAAGTATCCTTGACATTGAGAAACACCTTCAGTCTCAGTTCTCCTCTGGCCGACGAGCCAACAGTGTGTGATCATCATTCAGGCATTACAGGTCAGAGGTCAGATTGGATCAGAACTTTCCCAATATTATCCAGTTCCCTCTGGTCTTAGAGCGTCTCATTCTAGCGTTTAATGCTGAGGACACAGTCGTCCGTTTGAGAAACACACTACGTTTCAGAACATTAAGGCACTTCAATTCAATGAATCAATTTAAAAAATAAATAAACTTGACAGTCATTTTTAAAAAAAGACACTCACATCAAGAGTTTTATATTGTCCAGCTGTCTTTAGTGATTGAAATACTGCAGCAGCTGCTTATGGATCACGCCCAAAAACTTGCATTTGGTTCACATGTTTTTTTAATACTTTTTTCTTTTCTTTTTACTTTTTTGATGGAAAATTGCCAGGCCTGTGCTGCAGTTGTGAGCGCCGGTCACGGGACGGAGAACTATGAATCCAGGGCAGGATTTGCGCTGATCTGGTTTGGGGAATAAAATCATGAAAGATAGAATGACGTATGTAAGGTCACCGCTGACTGGCCAATGAAGTTCTCCTTTCAGCACTGAGAACCCTTTCGGCAAGCCTGTCTCTCCACCTATTCTCCAAAGGCTTAGCCTGTCTTCACTCTGGTCCTCTTCAGTAGCGCCTGTAAGTGATCTCTCTCAAGCAGACACACGACATATCATATTAACAAACAATAAAAATCACAGTGGTAATCTATAATAAAATAATCTGAAACGGTACTACATTCTTGTAGTGTGACAATATATAGCTATCAAACAACAAATTACTGTATTTACACAAATCTTTCTTGAAATAGAAAGAATCTGGGAAACAACAGTATTATAGTCTATAATAGATATACGATCTGTGAAACAAAGAGTTATAAATTCATGCTACAGTGATTCATCTGCTGTACTTTCACAAAGCAAAATGTTGATGGTTAACACAAATAGAATTATATCTTTTTTAACAAGATTGTATGTTATGTAAGGGAAAGATGCGTACTGATAGTTTCTTTCAAGGTGTTTTTAATAATAACTTAAATGGTATTTTTGTGCAGTTCAATTCAATGCTTCTATAGTGTGACATAAAAAATGTTGTCTCCCATTTACAAATGAAAACGAATAAAACAGTAGTTTGAGATGTGTATCAGTGCAGGATGCAAGAAATGTCATTTAAGTAGAAACATGTAAATGATGAGAAATCAGAGACTGTAATATTGAGATTAATATTAATATTCAGAACATCGATATTTCAGCTCTTGGCTGCAGCAGTGGTGGTCGTCTGTTTTGGGTCTGGTGGCTTTCCGTACTCAAGCTGCTTATTTCTGTTCTATTCCGCCGTTTCTACACGTCACTCTGTCTCTGTGATAAAAGCTTTACTCTTGAACTAAACGAGGAGACTAACCGCGTCCTCCAGCTGTTGTGAGTGTTAAAAGCTTTACTCTTGAACTAAACGAGGAGACTAACCGCGTCCTCCAGCTGTTGTGAGTGTTAAAAGCTTTACTCTTGAACTAAACGAGGAGACTACTGTCCTCCAGCTGTTGTGAGTGTTAAAAGCTTTACTCTTGAACTAAACGAGGAGACTAACCGCGTCCTCCAGCTGTTGTGAGTGTTAAAAGCTTTACTCTTGAACTAAACGAGGAGACTACTGTCCTCCAGCTGTTGTGTTTCAGAGACAGCGATGATGAACGGAGACCCGGAGTTCTCCATGTTTCCAGCAGACAGTCGCTTATTTGAGGACTCGTTCAGCGCGGAAAACACTTACCGAGTTTCTGGACAGAACATCACAATTCATCAGCATTACTGCGCAAACCTGGGCGTTTCTGCGTCAGTGTGGGACTCCGTGAGTCTGTATTAAACTATTTACATATTGATACAGCAGGTTCTATAAATAGAGAAGTACGGTGACCGGGAAGGACATGTTCGGTTCCCTGAGTTTTGTCGTAGTAACTGAAAGCTGATAATGTTGTGGACACACGTTTAATGCGTAAACAAACCTGCGTGACCATAGCAACCTGGGATTATCAGAACGGATATCAATAACTAATTAATATTTAATTTTTTAATTAGGAATGCCTCAATGTCTTTGTCATTTTATATTCATATTGGATCATCTTTAGTCAGAATTAAAATTATTTCTGATGAACCTATTAAAAGTGTAAAACTAAAATAAAAGATATAAATATAATCCCATTAAATGTTTGGAAAAATGTGATTTAAGTAATTTCTTTGATACTCTTGTTGATTTGCAGTGTTTTGTCACAGGCTCTTCATTTATGTCAGCTCTTTGAGAAAGAGTCTCTGGATCTCAGTGGGAAGCGGATAATAGAGTTGGGAGCAGGAACGGGTCTGGTTGGAATAGTGGCTGCACGATTAGGTAAAATATTGATTTATGCTTGTGCAATTGTTTGCCTTGAAGTTTTCAAAATGCTGACACATTTGGAAATGTCTGACATCTTTCTTGATTGTCAGTTTATTTTTAACCCTATTCCCTTCATGGAAGGAATTTTAAATCATAGGGATTGAGGAAATGTTAGCAAATAGTACACAGTATTAACATTACTGGCATGATTTCTCATTCTTGAATAACTGTTCTGCCATTGAAATCTGGCGTTCTTTATATCGCCATGGAAGCAAAGAGAACTGAAAATCTCACACTCAACTAACCTTTCATTGATAGAAACATGACCTGTGATGCCGAATATAACTCTCAGACACTCTTTCAGGAGCCCACGTGACCATCACAGACTTGCCTTTGGCCCTCGCTCAGATCGAGAGTAACGTTGCATGTAACGCTCCTCTCTCGGGCTGGCCCTCGGGCGCTCCTGCTGTGTTCCCGCTGTCATGGGGCCGGGACCTCGACTGCTTCTCCTCCGGCTGGGAGTTTGTGCTGGGAGCTGATATCGTCTACATGCCGGAAACCTTCCCTCTTCTCGTGGACACACTGGTCCATCTGTGTAAGGACGGAGCTGTGGTGCTCCTGGCGTCCCCGATGCGCAGAGAGCACGGCGCTCAGGACTTCTACAGCCGGGTGTTGCCAGAGGTGTTCGAGGTGGAGCTGGTGCAACGAGATCCTGAGAGCAATATCAACATTTATAAAGCCACTTTGAGATGAGTCGGGATATTGGAGCCGATCTCACCGTTATAAACGGGGAAACACCCAGAACGGATGGACAGTCCATCACATGAGCCAGACAGTAATGAACTTTATATCTGGAGCTGGGAGGTTTGAATAAATACTATATTTATACATTTATTTATAAATAAAATTATCTGGCATATTGTACACTTCAGTAAAATTATTGTTCTCCATTAAATTTTGATGTGAAAATGAATGTTAATTGTAACTTACTGACAGTGTTGTGGAGTACTCCCATTCTCTTCAGAAATTGTAAAAATCATTTGATAGTTGATCAGTAGTTTGATGTGTTTGAAATGAGTCATTTT